GGATCAAAAATTTGTTTTATTGCAAATGGTTTTTCGACCCCAAAAACCCAGTATTTAAAAAACCGGGTCTTTAAACTAAAACTGGGCCCAAACCAATGTACTATTCGGAATCAGGACACTCGATTACCTATTGTCCACTAAGTTTTGGACCAAAAGCTTCTGAACAGTTGGGGACCTTCCCTCGTCAGCTGTAGCACGTGAGTCACACAAGCATTTGGGAAACCTTTTCTGAAAGGTCTCTGGAAACTCTGTCTGTTTCAACATTCTTGCGTTGAAACAAAATATTTTTGTTGGAAAAACACCTAGTTCTCCATCCGGTGTTTGCTCTCTGACGATGATCGCTCATTTAAAAACAAACATTCGTATACAGTTCTACGTACTCTTAAAGTTTTTCCATAACGTTCTAAACTTGCTAAGATAATAAGTATAAATGAGATCATGACGCTTAAATGTCCTACATAAAATCTTATTTTACATATGATTTTTGAACTTATAAGTAAGTCATAATTGAAACCATACTGCAGTACACGTATCAATAAACTATTATTTAACAACACTAAGTCAATTATGTTTAATAATAGTAGATATATACCACATGATGATACACGTAGTTTATGAAAATTCGTAAACATTAACGTATTGAATATACCACCAATAATACCAATTAGATAAAATGGTATGCCAAGATATAATGTTATTCGACGTGTAAATATATTTAAAATTTGTATATTCGTTGCTGTTGCTGTCGTATTTTGAACAGATTCAAGCATAATTAGTTACTTGTTAGAATATAATCTACGTAGTAGAAAAGACATATGTTAATCAAGAATAATAGCTAGAAAACTATATTATTGTCATCTCCACTTAATCCGTTGTCATCTTTTATTGTTTGTTTGTTTCTTTCTTGTAGAACTAACAACATCGCACTATCTAAGAAATGTCGTCATTGTCAAGTTTTGAGAGACGATTTATCAGCTGGCCGAGAAAAGCAGTCACAGGCAAAACATTAACCTATGGTTTTTATTTGGGTAGCATGACTTTCGCAGTGGACTTTCGGCAATTGCCGAAAGTTGTGTTTTTGTTGGATTTTCGCAAAATACTAGACTGGAACTTTGGCAATAGCCAATAGTCCAGTTTTGTAAATATCGAAAATACATTAAAAGCGCAGCTTTAGTTAGTAGTAGTTAATTAGCTAATTACTTCTTTCAGCATGTCTCTATAAAAACCTTCCATAAATGATCAAAGAACTTTGAAATTCTAAGACTACCAGTAGAAAGAGCAGCCAAAATCCCTTTGTAATTGCATTTTCATAGTGACCGAGCGAGATTTCAAAGAGATATGAAAGGTTTTTCGAAGAAATATGCACAATTAACTAGTCACGTTTGCATGGTCTTCAGGTGTTCTCTAACCAAACAGCCACTTTTAATATCTTTATATCTACCGTTTAGCATTGGTTGAAAAATACAGTCTAGTAGTATGGAATTTATTTTCGAGTAATAAAGATAGAAAGGAGAACGACAATTCAGATAAATAGATACGTGTTCTTTAGTACTATTTATTTTTTTTCATCATAGTCCGACCATACTTTACACGTATTATGTGCTTTATATAGTAAAGTTTTCGTCATCTTTTTTTCTAATTGTTACGAGTTACATAACCAATTTAAAGTGCCTGAATGTACCTGTTAACAGAGATTATTCACCCCTGGACACATTTCTTTATGTCTTTCTCTTGTTCTCTTATACACCTCGTCGTCTTTCTTCTGTCTTCTCCTTTGTTGTGTTATACTATATATAGTGAGTGTGTTTTTATGTTATATTAGGTCATAATTTCTATCGAAATCAACATTTTCATGCTCGTCGTCATCGAGGTAACAATATTATTGCGAAAGTTTTAAATATTCTGAAACGTCTGGTGAGTCTTAATTCTTGCGCAGTACAGTCGTAGAGAAATAGTAAACGTATCATTATTTCTCTTTTCTTTACAGTGATTTGCGCGATAGTTAGTCTTTGAGTGAATTTGTAAGTGTAGAAGCTCTACACTAACTACATGGGATAGACTACCTTGCAAGATAGAAGTTTTGTTTAGATCAAGTTTTGTAGGGGACTTTGAGCTATCTATCCATATACAAAAATCAATAGACTCCTGTGGCATTTTTCAGAAATCCAGCGTGGTTTTCCAGAGATCCTTTGAAAAACCGGTGTTCGATTTGTTGTTAAGAAAGATTTTGTCTGTGAAAATATGCTCCTGGATCTTAGCTGTCAAACGGTGGAAACCGCAGATCTTCATCTTGTTCCTATCAAAAGTTATTCAAAACACAATCGAGTGCGTTGACTTCTGGAACGGATAATACTTGGTTCCTTACCAGTAACGTAACGGTAAAGTGCCATCCCTATTGAAAACAGTGCAGCCACGTCATGTTCATGATACTGACCTTCTAATTCTTTATTCAAAACCAAAAGAAACATATCGGACTTGGAGTTATTTTATGTTTTGTTTGCAAGTGTCAAAAAGAGTAGGTAGTATGTGGAGCTACAATATTGAAAACTATAATATTCATTAGATCGGTAACGAACTATAGAAGCAAAAAAAGAAAACTCATAACTTTAAACCATTGTAAAATTAGATTTTTGAAATCAAAGTAAAACAGATTAGTTTTGAAGTTAAATGCCGATATATAAAGTGACTAAAGTTGACAACTAAGAAGATTAGATGTATGATTAGTTTTTGTCATATCATAAGGGAATTAATTTTCATTATTGTTTTATTTTTTTGTTGTCATTTGACTACTGAGAAGTGTGCCATTTTTTGTGAGGTCGTGATATGAATTGTGTCATGACACGTTTGACGACACGTTTGACATATGTCAAACGACACAATTCATATCACGACCTC